GTTATATTAATTACTTGGATTATTTGGTGTACATTATACCTTCTTATATATCCAATTAGGGGTAAGCAGTTTGATTTGAGTAGTTTTTAATTTCGTCGTATACAATTAATTGTTGTTTCCTATAGGGTAACTAGTTCATGACAATAAAAATAAAAAATTCCAGGAGATTCATTTCTAGGTTGGTGACTTCTTTTGGGCTGTGTTAACCGATGACCTCATCCTCGCACATGAAATGCTACAACCAAACCCGCACATGAAGTATTCCATGAGGATAGTAGGGAGCTTATACGACCTCAAGACAAATTTTATTGCGGATTTCCATAAGCCAGCTCCTTTTTCTTTTTTTTTTTGCTGAAAGGATCCATTGTATCTTTAAATTTTGATGTTTGATTTGTAGCTGAGTTATATTAATTACTTGGATTATTTGGTGTACATTATATCTTCTTATATATCAATTAGGGGTAAGCAGTTTGATTTGAGCAGTTTCTAATTTCGTCGTATATAATTAATTGTTGTTTCCTTTAGTGTAACTAGTTCATGACAATAAAAAATCTTTGTATTTTATTGATTATAAAACTAAAAAATTATATATGTCAAACTATATATTTTGATATAAAACATTATGAAGTCACAAAATAAGGTTAATTCGAACAAGATAGAAGTTTATATAAAGATTTGTTTAAAACTTTAGCTCCCTTTTGTTACATATTTATTCGAACTTATTTTTCTCAAATTCATTTTTAATCATATAATCTTCCAATTAAATGATTTTGCACGTGAATTCATAATTTTTTCCTTTTTATCCAACTAATGGGACCTACTTAAATAATTGGTCAAACCAACCAATTTTCCAACAATTATTAGAAAGAACGTGAAATAGTAGTCATTGTTGGAAGAAATTGGACAGTTGATTATTATGTTGGAAAAAATGAATCAAGTACGGATCGTACATAGGGGTTTTAAGACGAGATCATGGGCAAAGATACACTTTCAAGGATTTTTAACATCACAAAGAGCTTGAATCTCTTTACAGAGATTGCCTAATTAGTTATAAGTTTGCATGTTTTTTCATTGTGAATTGTGTTCATTATTATAATTTTTCTAGCATTTGTACACAAACTTGACAGTTAAACCCAAGACTTATCCCCTTGGGAGCCAAAGAGCAACCCAATCTAAAAAACTATCATATCTATATTATCAGTTTCTGATCCCAGCTTTAGCACGTCAAGAATCACCTTCTTTATATCAGTATAAAATTGTGTCACTTTAAAATTTGCTAGGTCAAAAAATAATGGGAGGGTTGATAAATAGTATTATATAGTACTAAATGATATTATAGAAGGAAAAAAGTTCGATCTTTGTCTACTAATTTTACTATAATCGTATGAAACACGAATGAACTTGGAGCACTACCTTATTTGACTATGCATACATTCACAACTAAGTTAAGCTTGAATCACTCTTTCTTTCTTTTCTTTTTTGGCTTCACTACATGTACTTGGACGTTTACACTCCCCTCACGTGGGGGCGGGCGGGCGTGTAAACGCCCAATACAAATTTCATTTCTCTTTCTTTTTTCTTTTTTATTGGAAAAAGGCCGATCAAAGATTGGTATCTTTTCTATAAAAGTTTGACGGGATAACGTTCATGTCTCACCACTTTCTGACATCGAAAATTGTTATAGTTGATAATTCAAGCAAAAGACAGAATGAAAAGAATGGCGTGAGAAATCAGGCACGCGTGGGCCGAAGTGGCCCAGAAAGAAGCAT